GAACTAGGTGATGTTTCCTGCATTCTGGTGTATTTGCATGTTGTTAAACGTATTTTAAACTACGTAAATAAACACTTTCATAACTACTTTAGAGACGGTTTCTACATTCAACTCAATATATGAATCATCCTTTTTTGTGTCACATTGGACATTTGATTCTTTGACCAGCTGGTAGCCTAAGCAGTAGAGTTTTAATAAGGTAAAACAAACAAACAAACACTGGTGACTGCATCATGGCAGCCAGCCTTCTCTTTAGAGACAGTAGTTTGTCAAGAGAACAAAAAATAAAGTTTCTTCTCAGCTCTAACCCTCCTTTCTATTGGCTAGGGACCGGCAAAGGGATCTATTTTTAACCATAGAAATGTTTTTATTAACATCCCATCATGGATCAGTCGCAGCAGCAGTATTCATTTCATGTCTGGATGGGATGGATATCTGTCTGCAGCAGGGAGAAACACAGCATGAAGAAGCCTCCTGACGGTGCTCTGGGACCGGGGAGGAGTAGCTCTCAGCAGCACAATGGAGAAATGCGTTCACGGCAGATTCCCTCAAAGTCTCAATAACACCAGAAAAAGAGTCGCTAGATTTTCGCTTGTCACTTTTCTGAATAACAGTCTCTAGAGGGTCTGAAAAGTCTGTAAATATAGCGAAGAAGTCGCTAAATCAGCACCGCTGTGTTCCACARCRCGCCACCTCTCATGTCAGCGAGCAGCGTGTCGGGTCAATTACGTCACACATTGTCACATTGGTCAAATTATCGTACATTATGGGATTTTTGGGATTATTGATCGTACATCGTACAGAGGGCAAAATTATGGTACAAATACGATAATTATTGTACACCTGGCAACACTGCGTCCAAGAGACTTCTTCAGTCTGATGAGTTTCAGGTGAACTCAGCCTTAAAAGCACCGCCTCCACATGGTGGACAAACAGGTTAGTCACATGCAAAAGAGGGCCATCGACTAACAATAGGCTTGATTAGCTCTATTTTTCATAGAGGGTCATGTGCCCCATCACCTGACTTATTGGTTTGGATGCTGTGGTTCTTAGKTGTCGTGCCATGCGTATGTAGTGAATGCAGGCAGGGCTCAAAGTCCCCATGTTTTTGTTTTTTCCCTCTTTGTGTTGGTTATTGTTGGGGCCCTGGTTCACACCTTTTGCTCATAGGGGGCTGAGTCATACTTGCAATAACAGCGTTGTAGGAGGAGGACAACTGGACATGCAGGCCTCCACCTCTGTAATAATCCAGTAAATCCAGATGTCTTATTATAAAACTTTTAGAATTGTCCATGTCCTGGATGACTAAGAGTTTACACAAAGRTTTCGAGTACATAAAAATATAAAAGAAAATGCAGAAAACAAAAATAAATTACGTAAGAAATGAACATTTTCTAATGCAGTTCTGATGCTGTGTGTTCCCCTCTGCAGAGCAATAACCAGTACAGATATTTAAATTTCTTCTTTCCGGTGGCTCCAGTGGACACTTGATAAACAAATGACTTCCTTCCTGTGAATCAGTCCTGACTCACCTTTATTTACTGTTGTGTTGAGTGTGCTGAAAGTGAATTAGGTGTGTGTTTTTCCTGCAGAGCTTCTAACGGTGGATCCAAACAAGAGGATTAAAATGTGTGGTCTTCGTTACAACACCTGGCTCCAGGATGACAGTCAGCTGTCCTCCAACCCACTCATGACCCCAGACATTCTTGGCTCTTCTACTGTCTCTGTCCACACTTGTGTCAAAGCAACCTTTAATGTAAGAAAAGAGTGGAAGAACCATGTAAAACTGGTCAGATGCTTGTCTAAATGTGATAAATTATCAAACCTTTTACAATACTTAAAATTCTGTGTAGTTGTAGCTAAGTGTCATCCACAACACATAGCTAAATAGTACTATCTATTGTGCAAGACCACTGTACGGATTTAGGTCATCCGTGAATGTACATCCACAACTGACTATATCTCAGTTAGTTTTACAGATATTGAGGTAAAACAGGATGTTGTTGAAAATTTTTCACAATGCATACTGAGCCTGACATCTTGCAGTATTGCATGAGATTGTGCATTACAGTGAAACCTTGCAAAGTTGTGTTTCATAGTTTGCAGACTCAGTCTTTCATGGAGTTTTTCATGAAAACTAATTACTAGTAGTTTGCGGTAATCCACATTATATCGTGGAAACCAGAAATACAGTACAGAAAGGAATGTCAATTCTTCCCCTCATGATTTTTCAAGCTAAATTGTTAAGAGCAAATTAATTTACTAATTTTGTGACATTAACATTAAATGGGACATATCCTGCAAAATCCACCCTTTAGCCATTAAATACATTTTCAAGTGTACCTGGAGTCTCTAGGCATGCAGAAAAGTTCATTTCAGTCTCTCTCAACGCTGCAAAGGTATCTTTATATTCTGTTTGGGTCATATTTTTTCAATCTGTTAAATCTTCTATATTTTTAAGGCATTTTCTGAACTATTACATCAAATTATTTGTGATAGAACTGCCAAATATGGTCTGGACTTAACAACTACAATTTGGCCATCTTCATTCTCCTCTGGCGTAGGGTCAGACTCTGGTTCCAACATGTAAAGCTGGATGGACAAGTCTTCTGTTGTTGACATCTTTTAATCTTTTAATTAATTTGTACATAAAACATCTCTGCACTGCTATATATTTGTAAACTCCTCTTTCAAGCTAGAATGGATCGCTCTGAAAGCTGGAAGGGGCGGGGTGGGAAGCGCCTCGTTAGATTTAAAGAGACAGCCTCAAAACGAGTTGATCTGAGACACACCTCAGAACAGAGGTGAAAGAGGGGCTTGTGGAGTTACAATAAGGAGGAATTCAGACCAAAGCATTGCAGTTTTACTTTATATAGACCCCAACTGAAAGGTTTAAATGTGACAAGGAAGGATTTAAAACATGATATGTCTCCTTTAACGTTAGTTCAGTTCCAYGACTCATAGACTGTGCTCAGAGCGCAGCATTTCTGCCTTCTAACAGTTTACTSTACATTACCACATGGCTGCTAACTGTTTAGCTCTCGTGGGTTTTTGTTTCGTTTTTGCTGCATTGAGATCCCACTCAAAGGTGCCGTGGGCCTTTTCTGGACCACATCCAATATYTGCTTTTTTTTTCATTATTCACAAGTACTTTAAGAATGTAACCCCTGTGAAAATAGGGGCTTTCACTGTACTTTATTTTCAAGGTTATTTCTTAATTTAAAACTTTAGCATGAAAAGCGGTGGGCCATATGCATTTCTTCAAGGAATGCTAGGCCTTTAACAATTAAAAAATAATATGAGGATATTTTATCAAAGCACAACTGGAATAATTATCTCTTCTTAATTTGAAAAGAATAAAAAAAGATTTTTATTGTTTAGTTCTGTTAATAAAATTATTGGCTGATTTTTTAAGGAGAAATGTGTTCAACAATCATTGCAGCCGTTCTCAGAAAAATCCTTTAAAATGGTCTTTTTTCTTTTTATTCAGAAAATATTTTTACTGCTTTAACAACACACTTTTGAAACACAAATGTCATGTTCTGTTGTGAAATGCAGGACTAATGCGACCAGTCTGTGTTCTGATAGAAATAAGATAAATCGATGCAATTTCTTTGGGGGAAAAAAACTTTTTTTTTGTTTTGTTTTTKTTCCAGGCRTTTAACAAATGCAAGCGGGAAGGTTTCCGCCTACAAACGGTGGACAAGGCGCCGCTAGCCAARAGGAGAAAGATGAAGAAGACGAGTACCAGCACAGAAACTCGCAGCAGTTCCAGTGAGAGTACCCATTCTTCCTCCTCCTCCTCACAGTCTCAGGAGAAGACGTCTCCGGAGAGTGAAGCCAACCTGCAGCCCTGCTGCAGCCCTCCGGTCAGCACACGGGCAGCTGTGGAATCAGACTCTGGTAACCAGTCAGCTCCTCCCACCTTTCAGTTCTCAGATGAACCGTGAGACAACGAGACATTCCAGCTCTTCTCTTTGTCTCTGCCTCCAGCTCTGCTGCATGGACGTCTCTAAAAAACCAAGCATGCAGCCGGAGCAGCAGCTGTCACATCTGCATCAATCAATAAATCCTCACTAGCAATAGCCTCTCCTTATGTTTTCCTCTGACTTTCTCACACACACTGTAAGAACCAGGAAGTGGACCAGAAGGAGGCTGTCACCTTTGTCTTAAGGGCTGCTCTACTGTCTCCGATACAGGTGGACAATGGAGACACATCTTTACTTGTTATCAAGTCCCAGTCTCTCTTCTCTTGCGTGCTTGTCTCTGTCCGTGTCTCCAGGGGCTTTAAAGGGAAAGTTGCAGTATTTAAATCACAAAGTCTTTTTGTGTTTTTCATGCAAGGGAGAAAAGAAATGGAACGTATGAGTTTATTTGTAAGATTTTTAGAGACTGAAATTTATTTATGATAAGCTATTTTATTAACTTATTTATGGTTCTAAATGACAAGAAAGAAGATGCAGTATTTACTTAAATTGGATTCTTTTTCAGTTTTAAGTCAGATGGCACACACCTTTTATCTTTATCAGACACATCGTTGCAGCTAAACCATTATTCAGACAAAGTTATGTTCTTATTGACAGAAAGACTTTTAGAACCAACTTAATTCTTTGTCAAAATTGTTAAACCAGAGTTCATTGTTGTATTTGAAAAAAAATATAATTTTAGAAAATGTTAAATTTTAAGCTCGATTTGCTGCTTTGATTTTTAAAACCAATCATAAGAGCAACCAAACGCTGAAGTTCTGCCAAATCGTCGTCTTGAGAAGCCTGCTGCCTGCAGGGATGCGACCCTGTGAGCAGAGCTATATTTGGACTCGTCTCTGATGTCGGCGCATGAGTCCTTCAAAGTTTAGCAGGACTGCGTTTTTGTGAGGTCCRATCCCGTGTCAGTGTTTAATGCAGCTGTTTGTGTTGTACTGTGTGAGATTTAATTATGTCATTAACTGGTCCCATTCAGATATGCTCAGTTTGTTCTTTCTCTGATTCAGGATGCCAGTGGGGCAGTTTCAAGTGGCCTCTTGTTTAGAAACAACAAAATGAATTTATTCATTCAAGGAAAAGTTTTAGTGCCAAATTTGTAACCGAATGATTACGTTTCTAACCGAGTTACCTGATTCTGATTAGTGCAAAAAGTCACTCCTTGTATGTGTTTTTAAGGCTTACATTGATTTCCAAACAATTTTCTAAAATTCTAAAGACAAATCTCAAGCTTATTACTTTTTAAGCTGTTCTTGCTTTATCGCCCGCGGTTCATTTTTCTGTATCGTTAGCAAAATATCTCATGAATGGACTTTATTAAAAGTTTTAAAAAGTAATCATTAGGTTGACATTCAATCGTTTAATCAATCAGAGCCAAATGATCTTGGCTAACATAAAAATTGCTACAACCTAATAAATTTGACCGATATGGAGCTGAAGCTTAATGTGGTAGTAGCTGAGACTCATTCTCAATTTATATTCAGAGCGCTATTGATCAGGTAGGATCTGYGTTTCAAACTCTGGCTGTGTCCAAATTCAGGGGCTGCATCCATTGAAGGCCGAATTTGAAAGCCAAATACATCACAGCGATGTGCCGAAGGCCGTCCATATTCCAAGACTTCTCCATTTGCGGCTAAAAAATGCATCCTCCTTTCCCCCCAAATTAAGGGACAGGTCCGGTGTGTTCCTCACAGCCCACCCTATCCCAAGATGCATTTCCTGCCGACTGGGTGATTTTTTTTGTTGTTGCAAGAATCAGGGTTATAGTTTTAAATAAATATCTGTCAGAACAAAAATTTAAAGTTTAATGGGGTTGTGTTGTTAAGCTTTTATTTGCGTAGACATGTTTTTTTATATTATTTTTGTAAGAAATCATAGTAAACGAGCGGGTCCCTTAGTTCTGCATGTATTACCTCTAAGCTTGTTTTGTTAATTTATAATGATTAATGAAGCAGCTTCTTTCTCCTTGTCCAGTGGATCTCTCATCTCAGCCTTCTCACCCATTTTAACACATGTTGAGTYCTCCAAAGCATTCATCTCTTCCAAACGATGAATCTTGAGCTCCAACACCGTCACCTTTTGGAGAAGCTGGCAGAAATCCTCTTTGGAAAAGTAAGGAGGCATCATGAAGCTTTTCTGTACTCACTCTCAGCAGATGATGTTTCAAAAATCTTCTCAGGTTCTTCAACAGAATCCAATGTTCTTTTAATTCAAGATCATCCATCACAATCGTCACCAGCGTATCTCTGTTATTAAAACAATTTACCATAAAAAAGGTTCTTTTCATCCAGCTGGAGACACGGTCCTGAGCAGTCCTGCTCTCACTCATATCAGTCCACCTGCAATGTGGCCTTGGTCCGTCGATCTCCTAGTGGTCTCTGCCGACAACGCCAACTGTTATGGCAATATTTATTTAACAAAGACAGAACTACATGGTCCAAGAATGAAGGTACTCCGTGAGATGATCAGCTGAGTTTTATTGCAACAACAGGAAACACAGAGAACAACCTGGCCTGTCTCTGTGCCTCTGCTTCTCTCTGTCACTGTCTCTCCACACTACTGTTGAACTCTGTGTCTCGAGAGGCCTCATATATACATATTAACAAAACACCATTATGTCATCTTAGCAAGATTTGATACAAGGTCAATGGAAAACACAAAGATAAACACAAGTGATATCTAAGAATGACTGTTGTTAGCAAATCTTGTTCTGACTTTAATCATTCTATCTGCAGATGAACAGCATGTSATGAAAACCTAGGTCATTAAAGGATGTCTTGAATTACTTGCTTAAACATAAAAGTATTAGTTCCATTACATTAATAATATTAATATATTCATATTTTGATAATTTCAATCTATTTTTGGTATTTACTGCTTTTGTTTATTTCTCATGTTTGCTAGGTGACAGGACATACGCAGGGGTACAGGTGGGAATTAATTTGAAGGCTAGATCGTCCAAGTTCAGTTCTTTTGGTGTTTGTGGTCGTCAAAGGACCTGGCCCGCGTACACTGGGTAGGCTGGGTTCTTTGAAGGATGCATTCCAGGAATTTGGACACAGCCTTTGTCTTCAACTATTGCAATCAGTTTTGTTTGTTTGTTTGTTTTAGCAAAATATCTCATGAACCACTTATTCCGGGTTCACATGGCAAGATAATTGGGCTGATTTTTGGCCCAATTTTTCCCTCCTGACAATCTTAAAGATGGTCCAATAATCGTGACAGATTTTAATGAAACTTTCTGCAAAAAAATAATTGGGCTGCCATCTAAAGCTGATCTTCAGCTATCTAAACTGATAGGCTAAATCCAATCCAGTACAGATAGTGAGTGAGCTGAAAGTCAGTCACAACACATACTCCATGTGCCAACAGATTACACAAGATATCTCAGCATCGAATAAGATAATAATAGTAATTCATAATGCTTTTTCATTTTTAAGGTTTGACCAAAACAGCCATAACTCTGTCATGAAAGGCAGCAGGTGATATGCCAGACCTTTAAGCTACTGTGTTGTACTGCATGAAATAGACATCTTGGCACTGTGTAATAACTCACACCCAGAGGCAGACTTTTGGTTCTCCAGAGTGTGACGTGAACCAAAAACATTGACCATTTATGTTTTTCCCTATGTATTTATGGACTTTGGCAGATTCTTACTTGAGTCAATATGAGTTCATTTACGTGTACATTTGAGGGTCCTGATAAAATTTAGAGTTCTTACTGTTTAAATTGTGACTAATGTACCAAAATGTCTTTTTGTAACAGTGTGAATATTGTAAAGAGTGTTAAAGTACTAGTGGTAGTCAGGATAGTTGGTTGATCATGCTATTCACATGTTTAACATAAGTGTGTTTCTTTCCATGCAAAAATGAAGGTTTTTTTTGTCAAAACAGCAGTACTAACATTCAAAATGTGAAAGGTCTCCTCTGTTCAGTTAGAATCTGTCTTTCATCTTCTTCCATATTAAYGCACAATGAATTCAAACCAAAGCATTTACTTTAAGGTAGCTGTTCTAAAGCAACATGGGACATTTCCTTTTCTGCAAATATGCAAAGAAATGCTTTGTTTTTGTCTGATATGTTCAGAATATCAACAGTTAAATATTTGTTTGTGTTTTTATATAGGATTTGTTATCCATATCCAGCCCATTATCATGCCTAGAACTATGCACCTGTAATTGTTTCATGTGCTGCTTTTGTCATTTCAAAAAGATTTTTTTAAAAGGGTTCAAATGCAGAGCTTAAAAGGGCATAATAAATACGATGTACATCCACTGTGCTTTTACTCATAGCATAAAAGAAACAGCAAAGTAGGATCCATCGCCCTGATGAAAGAGCTGGAATCCTTGGAACTAAACACTACAAAGCTCTCGTCTAACTTAGTTCACATGAGTTCCCTGTTGCTGCCTCATTAAGCCTGTTCTTTTGTTTGGGTGTATTAATAGCTCAAGTGGAGGAAGAGGAAGAGTGTCCTATATCAAGCTCTCCTCTGGAAGCTCTGCTCTGTTAACTGATGTGCTGTGCTGCTGTTTGTTCCAAAGAAAATACCGTATTCTACTCGGAGTCCCTGTAGGAACAAACACACTTTCTTGGTAGGGAACAGAACAGAGCATTACAGCAAAGGGATGGTTTAGTTCCAACGTCTCTCTGGGTTGATTCTCAAGCTAGTTACCCCCCCTCCCCGTGCCCCTTAGTCTTTAATGAACAGTTTGTTTGTTAGAAGTAAAAAAAAGGACAGAGGCAAATTACTATTTGTTTTCTCTGGTACATTTCATCTTGTTAGATTCTTGGAGTTTGAAGGATTTGTTTCCTCTCTGACTCCAATGCTTCATCTGTTTTACTATTGAAAGTATCATACCCAACAAGCTAAATCTTTTTGTGATATTTGACACATAATTTAGAGGGCTGGTAGTTTAAATCGCTTTGTGTGTTTTAGCGCTAAAGAGATTGGCTTAAATTGTTTCTATGTGCTAATATACCAACAAAAATATCGTGTTTTGGGTTAAATGTTGATACGTTGCAGTGAATGCACAACTTCTCTTGAGGATTCTTTTGTGCATATGTCCTTTTAAAGTTCTGGATATTTTTATCTAATTTAATAGAAATATATTTGGAGCTGACCACAATGTCTCACAATGAGCTGTTTCACCATGACCCTTTAATGAAATGATTCTCCAACCAGGAGGACCGGTACCCTACGGATATACTTGGACTAAAGACTGTGAAGTAGCACAGCTATTTCTGCCTCAGGAAATAAAAAGGGTAAACATGACTGCTAACTAGAATGAGGCGGAATATGTGTTTATTTAGTGTCACAGTTTATTGATCTACCATTAGGGTCACAAATTTCATCAGCCTAAGTAGGTTACAACAATGTCCTTGACTGRAAAATGAGCAAAATGTTCCCAATAAATGTCCTTGT